GCGGGGGGATCAGCAAAAAATTAGGTAATATCATAAAAATGAATAGGAGCAGGAATAACGAAATAAATCGTAAAATAAATCTTAAAATTTGTATCTTTACTTAGGTTTAGATTCAATAAAATTCGATTTGAAACGAAACTCATCCGAAATTTAACGCGAAATCAGTTATAATAATTGAATGAACAATTCTAACCATATAAAGAAAGAATAAAGAAGTGGGAAAAATATATTCTACATTGATAAAATAAAAAAAAAAAAAAAAGATGAAAACTATTAAGAGAATGGTAGACTATTGAAAAACATTACACAGTAGAACATTTATAGCTTAAGATTATTAAATTAAAAAGAAAAAAAAAAAATATAAATTAAAAGAAAAAAAAAAAAAAAAAAAAAACGAGTAAAAAAGAAAAGATTTGGCAAGTAATGAACAGAAGCAAGGGATTTAAATGTCTATTAAAATAGTTAAGTCAAGATCATTAAGACTTTAATATAATAGGTATGTGTTTTTCTCAGTGGTGTGTAAAAAAGGTGTGTCTGAAAGCGAAGGAAAATGATAGTGCTTAGCACCGCTATTCTAGAGTTTTACCGAAAAATAAAATATTTAACAAATCATTAAACGATAACTAAATTTGCGGCGAATTATTAGCCGTGGACGTTGAGGCCAAATTAATATCGTCGTTGTTTACAGTTAAAGAAAGTTTTTTATTACTACTCTCCGAACAGCTGACATTTTTTTCCGCTGCCAGTGCCGAGTCTTTAGGTGAAATTATTGTTACAGCACCTACTGCTGCTGCTGCTGCTGCTGCTGCTGCTGCTGCTGCCGCTGCTGCTGCCGCGGCGCCAGGCGCAGTTGGACAATTAGCATTGAAGGCATTACCACCACTTTCGTCACTACTCTCTGGTACCGGTGTCGTATTCTGTTCACTTTCCATTGTTGATTCCTCCATTGGTTGTGCAGCGCTCGGCGATATATTTTCATCTTTTTGCATTAAAGCCAATATACTCTTTATATAAGTCTCCATTGTTAACAATAGTTTAATGCGTTTCTCATGTTCGGCCAATAAACGATCTTCAGCTGTTTTCTTATTACTATTTTTCGGATTTATTGACGTAGCAATAGTTGGCATTGTCATTGCTGAACTAGTTGCCGATGTTGTTGGCATTGAAGATAATTTCTCATCTTTACAATTGCTTTTATCATCGTTTGTATTTTCATTGGGTTTCGCCTCTTTTAAATTATTAGTTTTTTTCTTATCAACCTCCGTTTCCTTTTGAACTAATTCATGATTCTCTTGCTCCTGCTCCTGCTCCTGCTCCTCCTCCTCCTCCTTCCTTGATATACCCAATTTATATCTTTTACAATCCTTTTTAGCATCGGCGGTTTCTTCTTTCGTATTATCTTTCACTTGTGTTCGATTCTCCGTAGAATTTTCCGGCTGTTCTTTAGATGTTGTTTCACTAACAACAGTTTCTGAAGATTTTTCATTATCTGCAATCTTTTTTAGTTGATCATTAACTTCGGGTTTCACTTCGACGATTTTTTGCGTTTGCGGAGTGTTAAAGTCATCCTTTGGCGAAGCGACGGTCGTTGTTTCTTTAAATTCATTGCTATCTAATTTTGATTTTTTATTTGCAAATATTTCTAAATTTTGAAAAATGATTTATTATTTAGGTAAACACACACATTCGTATGACTCAGAAAAATGAATATTTTTTTTTTTTTTTTCAATTTTTACTTACCATGTTCAACAATTTCCTGATATCGGGCACTTTTGTGAAGTAGCGCTTTTAAAGAGCCTCTTAGCTGTTTCCGCACTGATGTCGGTATACCAGTGCTCTGAGCAATAACCCGTATAGCAAATAAATCGCCGCATAAATCATCAAGATCTTCCTTTGAGTGCATTGAATAGCTAATTGTATATAGTAAACGAGCTATTGGTAAATGTGAGGAGATCTGCAGCAGTAAATAGTATAAGTATAACTTTATTTTCAATATTTATATATTTTAAATATCAAAATTGTGAAAATTGTGTTTTTTACCTTCGGGTAATAAATTTCCAAGAAAGCTCTAATATACTGATCGCTCAGCGAAACTCTACAGTTGCGCAATATTATGTGTATATATTCGACTAAATATTGATTATTGATTAGCAAATCGGCGTATCTGTAAATGTAAACAACAAATTTTTGCGAGGGAATTATAATATGCAAGAGATATATGATATGAGGTAGGACCCACTTGTTGGTGCTCTTATTGTTGTAAATGCCCACCCAGAATTTTGGAAATAAATTAAAATGCAATGGAGCTGCTTCTATAGCAACTAAGCAACTCAATTTGACCAGTGTATCGTTCAGCTGATTGGTATTAACGGCCATACGCATCATTACGTCCAGAAAGTCATGGTACGGTTTATAGAAAGCTTCAATTTGTGCATCGTATTCTAGATCGGCACCCTTATGCAATAGCTCGGTATGCGGTATGCTCATCTGTACCATGGGTCGCGGTGGACGTGGCATATTTTTTGCTATTGTTGGCCAAGTAGTTTTGCCACCACGCCGTGGAAAATACGGTCCAAGTGGTCCTATAGCGTTAACAGCAGGAGCACTCGCTACTGATAAATGACAATTGATCAGTATAGGCGCTAATATGCTAATCACTTCCAAATTAGGATTGCGTACTAATTCTCTTAACACATCCAACGACAGTCTGCATATGTCCGGTGGATTATATGTGTTCAGAAAAGTAGCTAAACGCTTGACGGCATCGGGTAAACCCTTCAGCAAAGCCGTGTGCTGATGCTGTTGTCTGAGGAAATGCTGTTGTTGTAATTGCTGTTGCATTTGTTGTAATTGTATTTGTTGCATTTGCTGTTGTAATTGTTTTTCTTTTTGCTGCGTCTGTTGCTGCGTCTGGGACTGTGGCTGATGCTTTAATTGCTCCTGTTGTTTTTGTAGCAGCTGCTGATGTTGTTGTTGCAATTGCTGTGCTTGTTGCTCTAATTGTTGCTGTTGTTTCTTGCTAGTCGAACTATCTAGCCGCGCACTTAAACGCAATGTGGACAAAAGTAAAACCATTTCACTAAGCAGTTCCTGTAGATCGCCAGCAACATGACAGGCGGTAGCCTCATGATGCATGGAATGTAGGGTGTGTAGGGCTTCAAAACACATTTCAATGCCTCCATTATAAATGACCAATAAACGATCCTCATCGTTATCAACTACAAACAGTTTACAGTCGAAATCATAGGTAAAAGAATAAATCTTCTAAACGAACAATATACCTAATATTCTTAAAGCATTAATTAGAGTACCCCACGAAACGCGGGCATCCAAAGCAGTCAAGTAAGCTGACAAAGTAGTGCGACGAAAGGCAGTTATCTCATGTTTATCTTGATCACTGGCATCGGGATAGCGGGTAGCGAATAGTGTCATCAATTTGAATAGCTCGTCAACAGCTGCTGCGTATTGTGTTGGATGCGGAGTGATATTCTTAAAAGCCCATTGCAAATTTTGATGAGCAGCTAATTGGCGAGTCAAACTACGGCTCTGTTCACAGCACAAACGTAACAGACCGTAATAGGCAGGCAACATGGCACGATTATATGCCACTATCTCCGAATCATCATGATCAGCCCTGTTGATATATAAATACATATATAATTGTTCATTTCATTGTTCATATAGAGTGGTCTTCAAATTACTTTTTTAGCATTTGCAAATATCTTATAGAAAAAAAACTAATTCTATTTGTTGTTGTTCCCGCAATAAACTTAAAAGGTCACAAAACAGCTTAAGATTTAGCACTGATCGTAAGTACTCATAATTAAATATATAGAAAATAATTTATTTCACCCATCATACGAGATATACTAGATTCGTCATGTAGTCAATAATGTCTGTTAAAGTAACCGACAATAATCTCAAATATCTTCGACGGTTCTCGTCAGATAAATTCGAGCAGTGATCCAATTAATTGCAAGGAACCTTAGAAGGACGATTTCCACAATACGTAAATTATTCAAATTGTTTATTGCACCCGTTATTAGGACTTGATCTATCAAGCTCAAATGAAAGTATAAATACATAGATATCCGTCTTTACCACTTAGGGAATGGACTTATTATTGCTTGCTAATTATGAACGCATTATTCGACATATAGTTCTTGGCATATATTCTTGTGAAACCATATAATAATATATTGTCTCTTCTCCGATTTTCTATATAATATGCTTCTGCAAATCAATGTAAAATTGTTTATAAAAAAAAAATCAATTTATGTACTCACAGTATGTAGTTAAATGCAATATTACGAGTTATTTCCGAAGAATTGGCCACAATTAAAGCATTCTCTGGGCAATCGACGATCGTGTGATGCCAAAAGGCCAATAAAGCGTGTTTATTGTGATGGGCCGGGACACTCGGTTCGGAGAGACGTGGATGAAATAAGTCCCATAGTGAGCGCATATAAGGTCCCATCTGAAAATTTTCAACATTTCATTTTGAAAAAGAAAAAGAGAGTAAGTGTTAATGTAATGTTTATGCAAGGAATTATTAAAAATTAAAAAAAAAAAAAAAAAAAAAATTATTATTTACCATAAGCTTTTCAGTCTTTGACACCATGCAATAGCCTAAAAGACTAAAATATGATGTTAACTTTGTGGTACCGTGCGCACTTATGTCCGCGTAGGTACGTGCTGGACGCAGCAATCTTAACAACAAATTAATTATATTATGTAAAATGATTTGAGCATCGTTACTTAACTCGCTGCAATAAACACAAAAAAAGGAAAACAGAAAGTTAAAACTGTTTACCATATTCTCCCAATTCATTTTCTCACGTACCGATAAGTATGTGAAGATGTAGAAGATAATTTATGCAACGAATGTGTGCGGAAATTAGCTCTAAACGATTGCGAAGGTACTAAAGAAACCAATAAATAAGCGGCAGCTAAAAAAAAAAAAATAATGAGAGCAAATAATATAATCACATCGAAATTTTGTTGATTTTCTTCATAGCTCCGTCATTACCATTGCGAACTCTGGCATTGTTGTGCGCCAATAAATATTGTTCCACCCAATTGTCGGCTGATTGTAAAATCCAAGCATGAGCGATTTTATTTTTGGGAGCCTGAAAGGCTAACCAATCGAGGGCAGACTGAGGGCAGTATTCTGCAGCATCCCAAACACGTTGTAGCACCAATTGTGAGAAACAAGGTAAACCCGACACTCCACTCTGAGTTTCGGTTAACAAAGTTAATAGTTTAAAGAAAGGACCGCACAATTCTGTGTGCTTAGTTACAGATGCAAATAGCATAGTTATAATTTGATTTGCCAAACGTTCATCCCAGCGGCATAATGCATGTATCAAATGCTTCGTCTGATGCGGATTTATGTTGTCTTTGATTTGTTGATATAAAAATGGAAAACCCTGTGAATGATAAAATTCATAAATACTTTTTTATGGATTTGTAAAAAAAAAAAAACTCTTTTTACTTTGCCTGCCGCAATAGCATTATAGTCTTTGGTAGAAAGTTTCAAGCGTAAATCTTGGCCACGTGATCTTTCCACTAGGCTAGCGACCAACGCAATCATTTTATCCAACGAAGCTGGACGATTTTTATCGACCGATAAAGCCTCATCTGAAGAATTGTCATCATTATCAGAGCCAACGTCAAGCTACAATTAAAAAAAAAAATGCACAAATAAAATTCTTCTCAAGTTTGTGGCAATCAGACGTCAAAACCTAAATGAGTAGAAATACAACATAGCTCGTGGCGATTTCAGAAGCTAAAGTGAAGAAGTTAAAACACATTTTGATCTCCTTTTACAATATTATTCAAATTTTATGGAATATATACACATTTTATGGATATAGGATTCACTAAAATATTTAAATAGAAAAATATTTTTAAACTTAAAAAACTTGAATGCAATACTTTTGAAATTAATTAGTTATAGTTTTCAGTCAATTGTACTAAGAACCCTTAATTAATAAATTAAGTATAAAAATATGAGTTCAGACACCCAAACCATAATATTTTAAATTATGTAAGCCTGGAAAACCGACATGTTAATCAACTGTGGTATATTAAATCCTTTCACTCTATTTAAAGCGTACAGGAATGCGGAGCGACATCTTCACAGACTATGTAAATGTTTATACATATATGTTTACTAGTCATTGAACATTTCGTTTACTTTTATTATGTTTGTTTTTCGAAAGCAATTTTTGAATTTCAAAAATTTGGACATTTATAATATACACCGACTATAAATTTTGGCAAGAATGTTTTTTGCTCTGTCTCTCTATAGGTTAAAAAAAAAGGTCCGTTTTGCATATATTTAGCTTCTGGTAAGCATATGCAATGACATTTGTTCTATGGCGGACTACCCAATTCTTCCGGAGGGACGTCATTTAATCTAAAGAAAAACACACTCTCTCCAGTATCCGTACTCCGGATGTAATCAAGAGAATAATATTCTCTCATATTTGATAAGAATAGAAGAAAGTTATAAGACACTTACGCAGTCTTGCGTTTTATTGCCTAAATAAAAGTCGGCTACGCTTTTTATAACACCGATACGTAATAAAAACAATGTCTCCTCATCACCCATCCGTGAAAATTCGAATAGTAAACCAAAGAACTCGGATAGATGTCGTAAATGGGCTTTAGCTCCATGTTCCATTAATAGAATTAAGGAACTTATGAATCTGGTAACGCACGAAGTATGTCCGATAATCTCTTTACCATCCTCATCTGTTTCTGATTCCAAATACAAATGAGCATGTGTTGACCTGAGCAAAAAAAAGTGTTAAAAATGTTTTTTAAAAAAGAGTTTTCTTGTTAATGAGTTTGTTCACCTTAGTCTCTGTATAACATGAATAACCAAACGTTGAAACATTTGACGAACCATTTGATTTGGACATTGTATTAAGACTTGAACAGGCCACCAAGGCTCAAGAGACATATGACTGAGGAACCATTCGCAAGCCTCTGGACTGGCATTAAATTGCTTAGTCAGCAATTCCACCCAGGGCACCATAGTAGGCTGAAATATAATATAAAATACCAACTTGTACAAAACAACAAAACAACATTACAAGTTTAATTTCAATAATAAACCTTTTCTTTGGCGTGAATGAAAGTTTCGATAAAAAATGAAACAGATAGCTTAGCTGCAATACAGGTAACGTCTTGTTGGGCTATCAGTGTTTGTGGGATATGCCCACATATCTGCCACATGAAACTGTAATGTACATATATAAATTTAAAAAAAAAAAAGGCTATTAGCCTCAAAACTCTGTTAACCTACTTGAAATAAGTGTGTTCAAATATATTGCGATCTTGTAAGAATTGCCGATTATCCTGCCAAATCCACTCTTCAAGCTCTTTATTCAATTGTGGTCTTAATAAATGATCAATTTTCAATTCCTTATTTGAACCACCGCTCGCAGCTGATGATGATAAAGATAGTGACGGTGATCCCGATGATGTGGTCGGTATTTCATTGTCATTGTTTGCCTTATGACAGTTACTAGTCAAGATCTTAAGACTTAAATCGTCCAAGTCGACGTCTATTTTCGCAGTTTCTTTTTCAGCTTTCACATGATTTTGTGTTTTCGATTTGTTTGCAACATATGGCGAAGATAAGAGTTCCGAGTGTCGTTCTTTTAAGTAATCTGGTAAACGCCGTTCATAGAATAGCATATAAGCCGAATTGGTTTTTTCAAAACTGAAATCCAAATACTTTTCAGTCACCGAGTCATAAGTTTTACTCTGAAAATAGGAAAAATTGCAAAGAAATTTAAAAAGAGAAGACAGAACTTACAGTCATTTCACCGCCAAAACATTCAGCCGCAATTTGCGAAGGATCGAACGGCTTAACTTCAGCATCATTAAATAAAAACCAACGGTCATGTTGTAAAACCGTTTTATTACGTTCTTTAATGAAGCTATAATAGTGGCCACCGTCAGCAGTTCCAGTATGAACAGTAACGCCCACCAGTTCATATCTGAGATATATATGGAAAACAAATGTTCAGATGTACATATACATTAATGTCTCTCCTAAATGAGACTTACTCTAAACACTCTTCTAAGTCTTCATCGGCTAATTCAGCATAGTCCGCTTTGTCGCCACTTTCTTTAGCCTTCTCACGTTCAAGCCTACGTTTTTCGCGATCTTCTGTAATAGACGGAAAAAAGAAATTGAGCATTGATTTAGTTTTTCTACCCGACATATACCTTTGTATTGGTGAGGCATTAAACTTTTTTCAACGTAATCGGACATATTTAATCGCATAGGAAACGAGAAGTGCGTATTAACTTTTTCCTTAAGCATTGTTACCATATTGAAAGTGTAACGCATTGTATTGAAGCATAAGATTTGTGGTAATCGCTTAAAGCAGGCTCTTTTCTCAGCACGCACTTTTTTTCCGCATTGTGAACACGTGTACATGTTATCACCTTCCAAAGTGTCCTTAACGGTTACTTCATCCAAAGATTCTTGCAAATTACGCATATCGGCTACTTGACACCGAACAGTATAGAATTCCTCAGCAGTACGCGAGACATGATCGCAATCCAAAGATACAACATTATTGCTTAGAGTGCCGCAAAATAAACGTTTAACCAAATCCTTCAATTCCGGTGTCATTTCTTCTAATTTCGAAACCAAATCTATGAAAAACTCTGCCATGTCCTTCTGCTCACCAGTATTCAATGGTTGATGATCCATTTGATAGACGCGGCAAAATGAACGCGGATTGTATGCTTTTCGTTCAGATTCTAAAAGGTAAGCAAACATACGCTGCAATTCCAATAAAGTGGGGCCATGTTTTTGGGATTTGGTGGGAGGAATTTTTAGTATGGCACTACGAGCCTGCGGCATCATATATAGATGCTGTATGCAGGAGGCCATATAACAAGTAGCACCCAAGTTAGTAAGCCCTACGTAACCGCATTCAGACCGTCCCTCGTCTCGTGGCCAATAATCCCACGGGTATGGAGGTTTTGGGCCTGGCGTATGCTGGGCTAACAGTTTCGCATGCAAGAATGTGTAATTTTTCGGGCAATTCTTACATAGTTCTACTAGTAAATCATACGCGGCAGCTCTCGAAGTAGCTGATTTACATTTCGGCTTTTGACGACTTGATGGCGAAGGCATATCGAATAGAAACTCAAATATTTGTTCAATAAACTGTAACGCGTTGTGGCTAAACTTAAAAGTAGGGTCATATTTTACCAAATTCGACATAAGGTTTACTAAACCGACAAGACCGTCATCCTGAAGGCCGTAACGAGTCTCATAAAAATCTCGGGTCAAAATGCTCTGCGCAACAGATTGGCAGAGTTTTTCTATGTCGATAGCATCTTCGTTACAAGAGGAAGACTCTAATGAAGACTTGACCATATCGGGTGATAAAGTATCAACCAATCGGGCCAAAAGCCAAAAATAGTCACGACACGCGGGTCCATACGGCTCTTTTCCATCATCGCCGAGCACATACGGGTTTTGGTGACCATACGAGGTCATTTTTTCTGCCACTGATAGAAAAGATATTAATTTTCTTAGTAAAGGGGCCAATAACAGCTGATGACTTTGAGCATTTCCCAAACATATGCGATATAAGCCGGCACATATTTCTCTTCGGACTGCGGGCTCGGGATCTTCAAGTATGAATTTTTGCACCCAATTGCAATATTCCGGTTGTGCCCACAACAAACAACGCGCTTCAGCAGACGCATGCACAAAGCTCACCATTATGTTCATAGCAAATTGCACAACTTGAGCTCTACCCCAGAAACCGGTACGCAAATGATGATACTGATAAGCCGAAGTATTTGCCAAATAATTGGCATAAGCCTCATCATTAAGTATAGACGACAATCTTTGCAAGCATTGATCAACCTGCATCATTTCCAGCATGAAATTTTTAGGTTGAGAAATAGCTACGTGCATGTCTTCGGCAGGTATTTCCTCAAATCCCAGCAGCCAAAGAATTCGTAGTAAACTGGCCAAACAGTCGTGGCGCCATTCGTTAAGCAATTCGCCGGGATATGTGCTTTGCTGCAATTGTCCCGATACGAAAATCTCGTATAAATGCTTCAGACCTCCGCATTTAATAAAAGTTTCACTCCATTTGCTATCACCAATTCGGCGCAGAACATCTACGGCAATCGGAGAATTGCCAAAAATTTGTATTGCTTCTAATTTTTTATTATGGGATTTGTTGTTTTTTAATGGATTATTTTCCTTATCGTTAACTAGTTCTTCTTGTTCTCTATTCTCAGTTTCATTCGAAGAATTACCAATGCTGCCATCTTTTTGGTTATCAGATTCCGCACCCTCCTTGCGATCTTCTGGCGTATTAGTTTGATTTAGTCTCCTAAAATCTTCTTTCGCACCACTAACACTCGGATCGCTTATTTGTCGATTTTTTCCACCATTGTTTGCATTCTTTTTAGCGCTTGTGGCAGATTTCGTTGTTCCACGAGTATACGCTTCTATTGGCAGTATATTACCGTTGGATCCTCCGCAGCAAGACGGACCACCGCGCCCCTGAAAGACACTATTCAAAGCTAAGCTTTCGACTATGTGCATCGAGTACATAAATTTTTGCAGGTTACTGGGATCCAACAGTTCACAGAGCTTTTGTTTGATTTCCTTACGTTTATTCATCTGTTCTTCAGGTTCGGTGGCTAATTGTTCAATTCTAGCTAAGTCATTAGAAAAGCCTTTAAAGGCATCCAAAATCATAGGATTGGTGGGTAAAATTGCCAATATATCCCATACTCTGCGAGAGAGCAATTGCGCCTTAGTATGCAATTGCAAATTGGTTGGTTGCGGTTTCATGTCCCCTAATGTTTGCATTAGACGGAACAATTTCTCAAAATAATTAGATTGTAATAATAAAACGGTAGGTAAATGTTCTTTCGGCGGAGGTGGTTGCATTGATGGATGATCGACATTAGTTTCTTTTCGTCGAGCACCACGACCACCTAATGACACGTAGACAATCTGTTAATAAAATTTAAAAAAACGTTTAAGATTTTTCTTATAATAGAAGTTAATAACGTAATACTTGATTATCTTTGAAGCCTGCATCTATTAGAGTACGTTCATCATATTCGGAACTTAATTCCTGACCTTGCGTTATAATACGCAAAGGACCTTCACTTAAGAGTAGACCCAATACTGGAGCCGATACGCCCGAAGTCGATGAACCTTGAAGATTTTCCCACCTACAACGCATGAAACCGTTAATAATCGCTTACATATATAAATTCTCAATTTCGTTTCACCATTTGGAAATTTCAGCTTTTAATTCCGCAATCAGATCGCAATTATGCATATGTAAGACGGATTTCTCCGATAATCCATTCGGCTGTAGTATAATACGAATCGATGGTCCACCACCTTCATTCTTTAAGTTGCTATGAGATCCAATACCTTGACCTTCAATAGCCCACCGTCTTAAGTGAAAGGCATAACGACGGCGAAATGTTTCCAAATGTGTATTTAGTAACATCAAGCCACGCTGAACACACATCAAAGCATTCTCGTCTTCATTGCTAATCAAAAAATCAAAACAATTCATGATCATTTAATTTTTCAAGATTTTCGATTTTAGTTCGAACTATACCTCTCCAGAGCATTGGCTGCTTGTACTAAATTTTCCATACATTGCGAGACAAATTCTCGTTCGAATCGCAATTGTTGACCCATATAATACATATTAATATATTGAATAGCCGCTAATGACACTTCAGTGTTATGTGCTCGTAAAGCGATTTTCCACAAGTGGTACATGCCGACAATATTTGAAGAATTGGTTGACAAAGAATCCGTTTGTTTCTCGTAATGAGCTATGGCCATGCGTGCCAAACTGCAAAGCTGCTGGAAGAGGCCCAAAGCCACCATTGAAAATTCCTCGGGCCTTATATATAAATATTAAATATTTATTATAGCGTTTGTTTGGCTTTATTTTTTTATTCCTGTCTGTACCTTAATTCGGGCAGCTTCTTCAAATAGAGATGCTGTAAAGCTTCCAAACCGAGGGCATGCTGATCACCGCCCTTAGCTTGACTTTGTAACCAAGAAAAATAACAGTCGGCACATTCGGGATCATGAGCCAACCACTCCCATAAAGCATCCACTTGTTCTAAACTCAACCTTATGAACGAAGGAAGAAAAAGCCAAGACTTGAGGGGAATGCAATGAGAAATACTTTCAAGAGAGCACTTACCGAAATGTTTTAGGTGAACCCATCGAAGAGAATATGGAAGACAAAAAGTGCAAACGTACAGAAACTTGGGTTTTATGCGAATACAAAGAAATGTCAGTAGACAACTGATGTTGTTGCTGTTCATTTCCCTTATTAGCAATAAAGTCCGTGTAACGTTTAGTATAGTGTTTGATATTATTAAAGAAATGATACATCATTTTATGCTGCCTCTCCGCCCACATTGTAATCTGGTGAGTATCCGAAGGTCGGAATTGTTGAAAGGATGCAAACAGCTTTGGCAGCAAACGCAATGACACAATAACGCTTTTATTATTAGCCAAATTATGTAGACATCCTTCAATGAATTTAGTGCGTAACTGACGATCGTTGCTAAAACACAATAGCGTAGCCAAGGCTTTCTCAGCTTCTAACGCCAAAGATTCGCCCAACTGCGACTATTTTTATATACAATAATTGATTAAACGTAAATTTTTTTTTTTTTTTTTTTTTTAATTTTACTTACAATTTTATCGTCTTGCAACAAGTCCCATAATAAAGTATTTCCCGGTTGGCATACGTCATTAATTTTGAATGTGGGTTGCAACGGCGAATTCGATATTCCAGTCTTATTGCTATCCTTCGCTCCGCTGGTAGAAGCATTCAAATCTGCATCGACTTCGTTACCGAGCTGTTTACTAACCGTTGCTGCTGTGACCGCTTTTGCCATAGCAGCCGCAGCATTTGCTTGCTGTTGCATAGCTAATAGTGATTGTTGTGCATTGCCTGTAGCTACCGCTGCTGCTGCTACGGCAGCTGCTGCAGCTGCAACATTTGCCTCCGTCTTTTGCATAGACATAGCGGTGTGAGCCGCTGCCATAGCTGCCGCCGCAGCAGCAAAAGCTGGTGGCATGCCAACATGTGCCACTCGCGGTGCATGCGAACTTACTAACTGTGCCAATTCCTCTTCGCAAGGCGATACATCCTCATCATCAAAATCAGCCATATTCTTTTCCGATTTATTGCTTATCGGTGACGAGTAGCTTCCATCATTTTCCGCACCACTCAATAATTCACTGATATGTGTTTCAGCTATAGCTCTGATGTAAGGGCCTTCTCCTTGTAAATGTTTTAAAACGGCACTGGGTACCTGGCCCGGATCACTGCAATCATCGCTGTCGTTGAGAATTTCGCCCTCACCATCTTCAGCGTCATCGCTAGAAGCCTCATCTTCACCGCCATCGCAGATTGCTTCCACTATATGATAGGCCAAACGCGTCAAGGGAATGCTATTATTTTTGCGTCGTTTACGTGATTTTTTTCGATGCATTTGAATGTTAATTGAATCTTGTTGCAGGTCATCTTCACTACTCGAATTATCGATTATATTAACAATGCGATGATTTTTCATTCTACGTAATAAGACGAAAAGAAAATAAACCAAATATTTTTTGCAATGTTATTACTTTTTTAAGTCTACTCACTTCATATCTACTTTAGTATTTATCATGTTTATATCTTCTTCGTTAATTTCTTTTGTTTTTTCTTCTGTGACATCACATACGTGACGTCTACGTCTAGCCTGTTTACAAGGTGGCGCCCCCGTATCCGAAGAACATATATTCTCTATGTCTACGGGACTTTTCCGAGCACTAGCCAAACTGCTGTCGTCGCAATTACCCTCATCCGAATTACTGCCATCCATACTACCGCAATCGGAACTGGTTGCAGTTGCATTAGCCACTAATAGCTCGTCCTCCAGGCTCATCTGTGATCGCGATTTATCTCTGGACCAAATTAGCTTAGTTAAAGCTGAAGCGATATAAATACTTTGTTCGGTGTGTTCTTTGGGGTCCATGCGACAGAGTAAAGTGTACAAATACATTGCCGGTTTGGGAGCTAAATTCTTAACTAATGATGGCAGTATATCGAATATTGTTTTCGAACAATGCTTTAACTGCTGTGTGGCTTGCCAAATAAGCTTGATATGCTCTTCAGTGATTTGATTTTCCACTGCTAAAAAATTTAAAACAATATGAGCCTGTTTCAGAACTTCTACGTGCAAGTTGGGTCCAAAAAGATGTTGAATAATTTGATTTTCTGTTAACCAAGTCGCTATCTTCTGGGCGACTATTTCTACTTCGCCAACTGATTCAATTTCACCAAATATATTTATATGAGCATTGATTTGAGCGATACCTGAATGTTAACCATAAAAAATTTACTATTTTATTTAAATTATTCATGCTATACTCACCTGCTAAACGCATTGTCAAAGTGGTTGATGTAAAATACTTGAAAGCTAAAGCCAAACCTTCCACGTCGAAACTTACAGAGGCATCCAACGGATCCCTAACGGCTGACCATACGAAATCAGCCATTGCGCGGGTAGCTGCTGTTCTTAAATTTTGATCCGATAATTTGCACATATATTGCAAAACTCGACTACGTAACGGCACGAATAATTGCACAATGCAACCATAGTTTAACCACAATTTTATATTCGAAACTGTAGCAGTTATGGCATGAGCCGTTGTAACTGGCAAATCGGGATGTTCAAAACTCAGCATCATTGCTGCAAAACCGCCTGAATTGCAAAATAAACAAATATTGCGTAACAAGTACACGGGAATTTCGTTGTCATGGAGATCACAAAAGATGGCCAAATGTTGAGCTTCCTCGGCTGAAATATCATCCAATCTTGCATGTGTACCATGCTTATAAGCAATATATAGAGGAAAATTCAGCAGGAATATTTTAGACACCAGAAGAAATAGTTTTTCCACCTCAGGTAATATCCAAGTTTCCTCAGTATGCTGAGCACTCAAGCTTTGTATGGATGAACCCGATGATGACGACGACGACGATGAATTTGATGAAGCGGACATAGATTCATCATTTGTCGAAGTTTCTATTGGCTGTAGTTTTTCTTTAATATCCTTTCTTTCTGCGACATTCTTAGCCAAGCCTTCTCTAACGTCCTGCTTTTCTTTGGCGCCGTTATTCGAGATTTTCTTTATATTCTCATCTTTATCTTTGAATTTTTCATTATTTGCGGCATTAGGTGCAGATTGAGCATTGGCTGTTAATCGCTTGTAATCCTCAATGAGTTTATCAACGTGCTTAAGATGATGAACTGCTAAATATATCATGGACTGCACCACCAGATTAAACCGCTCAAAATTTTTTACATCCCTATATAGGCACATGCACTGTCTCTGTGGCCAGGCTTGTATGTAACCAAAAGCAGTTTCGATCTCGTTCTTGTAAAGAATTGCATGTTTTGCGTCATTAATCCGTATTTCATCTGAAAGCAAAAAAAAAAAAAACAAATCCTTTTTAGATATGCAATGATTTAAACGTACACCGGCTTTTGCGTTAACACAAAAACCAATGTTTAAATCTTCGACTGCTCTTCGCCCTTCCAAAACGTACAATAAGCCAAACACAAAAGCATATATGTACACAATTTTTTTTTTTTTTTTTTTTTTTTACTATAAACACGTTACAATACTTACACGACTCTAGCAGTTGTTGAAAATCTGAACAAATATCACACATGGCCATTGGCAAAATTTTCCCAATCAACTTTCTTACTCAATTTGTTCAATTTGTGTTCCTAGCAAAAATGAGTGCTCCTTTTTTCGAAAGGTATTTGGTCTTCCTTTTTTTCCTAGTTCCGTCTTCTATCTCTCTGTAAGCAGATTTTTTCTACTTTATTTCCATTTACAATTTTTGGAGATTTTTCGCTAGACCCCTTTTAAATTTTTTTTTCTCTAAAGCCATATGACTTCTATTTAATAGTTTTCAATCTTGAATTCAATTTCATTCACTATATTTTTGTAAATTTGTAAAAAAAATTCCTTTTGCACAATTTTTTTCTTTTATCCACTGCAAATTCTTTTTCTACTTTTTGCTCCTATACAATGTTGCCAGACATAAAGAAAAAAATGATAATTACATTGTATAGGCAGATGCTACAATTTAAATGTAAATACATAAGCAAGTGTTCACCTAGTTTTATTATATGATGTAAATATACAAACGACAAATTTATCGCATTTATCGTAACTATTTGGAAGATTGATTATAATAATAATAAAAATATTAACAGCTATATGTACTTATCGCATTTACCGTAACTATTTTGAAGATTTACAATAATTATAATAAAAATATTAACAACTATATGTATAAAAATTGTGATAAATAAACAAAGTAGCATCAGATAAACATGTTCGCAAAATGCAACAACAAAATATAAATATATACAGGGCTTACAGGAACCATCTCAAACGATATCAGATTTACAGCAATAGTTACATAGAGTACTTTTACGGTAACAAAACACATACACACACAAAAAGATACATATATGAATACTGGTTTTCAAAACTTTTCCAAGTGGCAAGGTGGGCTTTTTTATTTTGACATGTTGCCCGCTAAATCATTCGCTGATTAGAAGAAGAAGTCTTAATAACACAACGTTTATATAGTAAGGCTTATAACAATATATACCGTTTGCATAACGGAGATCATCGGTGCCGATCTTTTTAAATTTCGTTATAATATGGTATGCTGTTGTGTAAAGTATTCGAAATAATCGCCAACAAAAGAAAGCATACGAAAATTTCATGTTGATGTTTCATTTCGGCGAACTTGAAATTTGGCAACATTGAAACATTTTCAAGTTGTTCGTTACAAGTAGGCCGCAGCGCTTTAGTATTGTAAAAACGATAACCGCGATCGCAGTTTTTTGTTATGAAAATTTTGTGAAAAATAGTATATAAAAAACATTTATATACAGATTAAAGTTCATCCAGTATAATTAAGTCCTTTGAAAAAAAAGACGTTATCTTCAGGAGAACGTGTGATAATTCATAATTTTATTTCGCGCAAAAGTCTCACGCGACAAAAAAAAAAAACAAGAATAAAAAATAAAATGGAGACAGTAGCGGCGTCTATGTTGTGTGTGAAAGAATATGGCTTAACGAAAGTTTTCTTTTTTTAAAATATCTGTTGCGTACTAATCTACATGATAGCATTGCTCTGCTATTTCGAATTGGTGAGAATATGCATTCTTATTACATTAAATTTAAAACTTGTAAGTCAAGCCCACCAATAGGATTATTGGTCGATATGAAGAAAGCCAGTGCTCTGGTATGTTAAGTTTCGCAAACATGGCTGTTTATAGAAATAATTTGGTTCATATATTTTTAAAAATTTTGTACAAAAAAACTATCAGAGAGAACTAAACAATTAGAGCGTTGAAGAAAATTTTTAAATCAAAGAGAACTAATAAGAATTTTACTTTAAAAACGCAGAACGTAATAGTTCTGTCTGTAAATGTAATGTAAATAGTAGCACTGCTAACTTAGCAGCCGGTTGGTTGTGTTGCCCTTGCATTCCCGTTATTTGTATGGGAGAAATTCTGTTAAAAAAGTTCTTGACATGAATCACTCTCTTTGGTATTGGCACATGCTATAAAAGAAATATTTTACGGAAACATTATTCTTATATTAGTGGTCTTCGCTCTTTTGCTCTCATAGCGTTCGTTTAAATATCGGATTGACTTTTCGGATAGATTTTTTAGAGGAAATGTTTAGTACAAAAATATTCCGTCTGTACGCATATAGAATTTTTGTCTAGAAAGAAAAACCAAATTCGATAAGAGAGTAGAATAAATGTTGTGTAAACCAAAGTTCGTCTCATTTACTTCTCCTCTAAAGTAACAAAATTCGAAGTTCGCTGATTTACTTCTCCTTTAAAGTAACAAAATTCGAAATTCGCTCATTTACTTTTCCTATAAAGTAATAAAATTCCAAGTTCACACTTTACTCAAATTCTTTATACAGTGCTGCCATCTACATGTCAATAGTTAAGTTTTCCTTTTCAAACAAAGAAAGAGGAAGAAAAAACTTTACTTCATTATCGAACTTCGAAAATTGTATATACGAATAAGACTGAGCAAAAGTGTACTTGCTATTTTAAAAAGTACGTATATAGATGGAAACGAAACGGAGCAAATTATTTTATTTGTGAAAAGATTAAAACTAAAATGTTTTTTTTTTTGCATATCAGAATTTTCAAATAATACTTTTTCGTTGAAATGGTTTTAATTACCATTGCCATCCACTCAAATTGGTAAGTTTTTCAAGACAATCGATCGAATTGTTTCATTTATCTTCCCCTTTCGCTGATAGTGAAGACTTTTCCGTTTTTCCTTCCAAGTCCATATTTACTTCCTTAACTCTGCGCATCTTCCGGTTATGTAAATTTTTTTTGCTGAATTCTTCATCATATGTTCTCCTATTAACCTAATTTGTATATAGGTCATCTCGTCCGTGGGTGAAATTTGTCTTCACAGTTTTCGAATCTTTTTAGATTTTATCGACAAGTATTTTTGGTCCATTCGATCAATTTTTTCCATTTTTGTATCGATATATTAGGATCATCTATAGATTATAGGTGGAAATTTTTATCGTTATACGTTATCTCCCGTAGTTTTTGGGTAATGGATAAACAACCCAACAGCTTTGCGTTTTGCGTTTGAGTTCAAGCGTCTTCTCTGTGGGAAAAAACTTTCAATGTTTTTGCCAAATTTGGCAGTGACATCTTCAATTTTGCGATGAAGGGAATGTTTCCCATAAACATTACAGACAAATAGACAGACGGACGAAAGGCCACTGTTGCCTACAGGAATTTAGGATTCAATCTTCATCTTGCAGGGTCTCGAAGCATTCTTTTTGTTTTTTCTATTATATAAGCTATCACTCAGATGATGTCCACTAATCGTGTAATGCGGCGACGGTCGGAGGGAAGTGAGCGAAGATTAAGAAAGAGGCAAGCATCCGCAGATATGGGAAGTTTTAATCTAACGGAGCATTTTTTCAAGTCCTTCCATATAGACCTTCTTACAGAAAAAATAAGCTTTTTATGAAAACAAGGTTTTATTTTTGTTATTTTATCACAAAAATAAATGAAAAATTACAATATATTATGCAAAATGGTGCAGGGTATTCAAAAGTCGAACTTACCTATCTGGATCATTTTAAATTGTTTGTTGTTGCCATTATGATAACCATGAGATAGGAAAAAAAAAAAAAAAAACGGAAAAGAAAGGAAAGGAAAGGGAAAGGAAAGGAAAGCTTTTCTAAATCAAAAAAAATGTGGAACATTTTTGTGTACAAAAATGGAGCAAATATTTCACAATTTTTAAAAATTTACGTAAAACTTGAAATAAAAGTGAAAATGTAAATGCAATAATAAAAGAAAAAATTTTCACAAAAAATTATTCCCTCTTTTTAAATAAAAATTGATTGGCTTCTACGAAGAAAAATTTGTGTGAAATTGGAAACAGGCACTCATTTATATATATGTGGCATACAATCTGCGCACATATGCAGAAATGTCGTAGACTTTGTAATCATTGTAGGGTTTTTTTTTTTTTTATCCACCTGTTTCGTTGTGTTCGACATAGAAGTAATATGTGAAAGGGGTGCGCTTGTTGTATGCGTGTTTCGTTACTGTTCCATTGTTCTGTTATCTATCATTATTATATATATATATATATATATTTTACACCACTTTTGCTAAGAGTATATTAACTTTGTTTGATTGCGTGCAACACCTGAAGCGATTTAAGACAGTTTGACATATCATTTCGAATTCGCTTTCATATAAATGTTCTTGCAAAGAAGAAGAAGAAGAAGAAGAAGTTTTTCCTATGGCAATCAAGTCCAAATTGTGTAGTCTTTTATGATGGAAGTAAAATAATGAGTCTGGAGCATATAGATCACTTCTTCCAATTTAAAGAGTCTTGTGAAAAGCAAATTTTTTGCCCGGAAATAAGTTATAAAATTTTTCTGATACTTTATGACGAGAACAGATGAAGAATTTTGTTAAACACAATTTTGGATAGGGTTCTTAACTATAATGTTTTGACTTGTGTTTGTAATAGTGTGCTTTCACGGTAATAAATCTTATGAAAACAATATCAATCCTATAGATATGTTAAAATATGTTCATCGCATTACTCTTTTTTTTCTTCGGCTTACTTGTTCACTAACGTCTTGATGGAAAATTAATGTTTTTCAATTCCTCTGCTGGATAAATTTGAAGTTAAAATTTTTTGCGATCAAAGCAGATGAAAAGTTCAATTTAATGGAACAAATTTCTTGAAGCACTGACAAACTGTATGTATTTTTCAACTTATATAACATTGTGATCACAATGTGCTAATGGGTTTTTTTCGTTTACCTTGCTAGCTTATCGCTGTTTATATCCTACATCATAAGTGCTATAGGGTATATTAAGCTTGAGCGCCTGTTTGTTACACTAAGAAAGATTTAATATAGATCTGCTGTTATCAATTTCTGAATCGATTAATTGTGTCTGTGTGTGTATATGTTTTCCCATTTGTCTGTGTTTCCGTCTGTCCGTTTGTATGGCCATGCAGGCCGTGATTTTTGAGATATTTTGATGAAATCTGCTATAATGACGTGTTTTCAACCAAGAATGAAATCTATGGAAAATGGCTTGATTCGGACTACTCTTGCGTCAATTCCCCATATAATATCTTGGCATTACGAATGCATTAATTTTTCGAAATTCCTCTCATTTAACTATTTCTACGAAAAGCAAGCAAGTACGTCATGGTAAAAATTTGTCTCTGATAGTACTTTGACATAGCAGTTAACTATAACATAACATAACATAACATGTCGGTCCATTTTATGTACCTGATCTCATATAAAAACTGCT